CTGCCGTCTATGGGGGTCGCACAGAGTTGGACACGACTGAAGTGACTTAGCAGCAGCAGCAGTACTTGAAAGACATTCTGTATCTTATCTGACAATGTGAGTCCTGAGGGAAACAGGATGGAGAGCATCAGAGCGAGTCACTTGTGTGGGTCTCTGAGAAAAGGACCCTACATTCTATCCCATTACAAGGTTAAATCCCCTGTATGGGAAACAAAAGAACCTTCCACATGAGCTTGAGGATCCAAATGCAGAGAGAATGGAATCCTTGTTCTCTTTTCAAAAGCTTTGCAGAATGTCATATGACAACATGGGGCCATCACTAGAATAGGAACAGTGGGTGAGGTCACAGCTAGGTAGAAAGAGGGTCTGAGGTAGCCACCCGGCCTTCCCTCACCGTAACGTGTACCTTCCTTTTCTGTGGCTCCAAAGCTGAAAGTCTCCTGTGAAGGTCTCCTTGAACCGCTCAAGAGAGGAGCAGAGGTTGGCTGAGTGAGGGATGATTTCATGGTTGGGGTCAAACTAACCGTTTTCCCGATGACACTGTAACTAGAGGTGTTTCAGAATTTAGGCAGCATGGGTGGACGCTGATGGTGTGGCCAGTGTGGCCAAAGGCACCCAAAGACTGATAGGGATGGTCTAGCTGAGGAAAAGCAGTTATACGGATGCCAGTAACCAACGACCTGAAGTCTCTTCCCAGGCCCCTTGACAACATGGGAGGCCTTCTGCAATTTAGAACCTTCACACCTCGGACAGCTGAGGCAAAAGGGAGTATTGTGAAGTGACAGTCAATTAAAGAGGAACTGAATTCAAATCAGAGCTGGCTGAGTTCACCTTGAGTTTATCCATATTTTATTTCTGACAACATCTGATCAGTCGAGATGCTCCATAACAGACTGATAAAATTGATTACTTGACCCTAACCCCAAAATTAACATTTGTCCTAATTAAATTTCAATCCACTGCTACATCATTTGAGATCTTTTTGAGTCACAGTTTTGCTAGTTAGTATTTTAGTTTTCTCTCCAAGAGGCACTCATTTCGCATTGTAAACATTTTGGTTCTTTAATTCACACACATCTTAATAAGCACTTTCTTACCAAAGGACTTCATTCCATCACATTCTCCCCCTATACCATCAAAAATAAATATACACACAAAAAACCTACAGTAAAATTTCTAAGTAAGAATTTCTTCTTGTGGCAAGAGGAGAAATGGAGAGTAGAAAATAATGTATTTAAATTTGAGGATTGTTAAATTAAAGAAATCAAATGAAAAATATTCCTAATGCAGAACTACTGCCATCTTAAGGCCACAGCCCAGTATTATAAACCAGCTTTTGGTTCTATTTCACTAAATGACTTAGAGAGATTAATTTTTAGGCATTTGTACATTTTAAAGTACTAAATAATATTTATTATTCCCTTTAAACAAATTATATGATCCAGAGAAGATGTGTAGATTGGCTTAGATTACATAAAAGGTTAAATATTATAATGTTTATTTTGGAGTATTTAAAAAAGCACATTTTAAACTAATGAAAAATTAAACAGGCTATTTCCCTCCCTCCCCTTAATAAGCCTGGTAAATATGTACAATTTATATGTTAAAATACAGTATTATAAATCCACAAAATATCACCTAATGTGCTATTTTAGTGTTTAAAATTTAAGCTAGCTGATCACAAAGTTATTACCTAGGTAGTAACAAGTTAAGTAAAAGGCATACCTAAGGTTAAAGTTCCTAAATTATAGTATTTTCATTATTAAAACATAGGTCAGTTATAATGATAATATTCAAACATAGAAAATGATCAATAAAAATCATAACCTATTTACCTATTTCTGAGCATTTCAAAATTATTTTATAACTTCCTAATTATAAGAAAAAGTGTATATGTATTTATACATGGAACAGGAAAAAAAAAGAAAAAAAAAAAACGTAAAACTCCACAGCATGGTATAGACATTACATACAAATAGAAGTATCAAAATTTTAAAAACTAACAAATAACTTAAGCAAAGTTCACATCATTTAAGGCTTCCCTGGTAGCTCAGCTGGTAAAGAATTCGCCCACAATGCGGGAGACCTGAGTTTGATCCCCGAGTTGGGAAGATCCCCTAGAGAAGGGAACGGCCACCCACTCTAGTAGTCCATGGAGTGGCAAAGAGTCAGACATGACTGAGCGACTTTCACTTTCCAGTGGCTCCCACGTTAAAGAATCTGCCTGCAATGCAGACTCAATCCTGGGTCGTGAAGATCCCCTGGAGAAGGGAATGGTAACCCTCCCCAAGAATACTGGAAGTATTCTTGCCTAGAGAATGGACAGAGGATCCTGGCGAGCTACAATCCAGAGCAACTAACACTTTTCCCAAAGATCTTTCAGACAATATATAGTAACATTATTTGCTACATTTGACAAAACAATATCTATACGTCAGTCTTCTGAGACTGCCTTAACAGAAGGCCACAGACCGAGTGGTTTAAATAACAGGAAATTATTTTCTCATGGTTCTGGTAGCTAAAAGTCCAAGATGAAGGTGCAGGTAGGGCTGGTTTCTGGTGAAACCTCTCCTCTTGCTAGCAGGTTGAACCTTCTCCAGGTGTGCTCACATGGCCTTTCCTCTATGCATGTGCATCCCTTGTGTTTTTCCTCTTCTTATAATCACACAAGCCATATTGAATTAGGTCCCCACTTTTATTTAACTTACCTCCTTAAATCTCTATACCCAAATGTAGTCACACTGGGGCTTAGGGCTTCAACATATGAACTTTGAGGGGACATAATCCAGTCCCTAATACTGACATATTTAACATACCACCCAAAGAAACAGAAATTAATTGGAGTCTGAGTAGAACACTGAACTTCTGGTTGACAATAGAAGAGGTGTGCATGCCACTATATTTGATTAAAGTTTAATGTACAGAAAGAAAGACAATATCTGCCTTTGAAAATAAGCCTATGAAATGAAGTAAATGTCTGTATTTAAGTTCAAGGTTATGTAGGGAGTGAAGGAAAAGAGGGAGACCATCCCACAGGTTCTTACAGAAGTTAGACTGAGATTTAAGATAATGGCCAAGAAAGGTGAATGGAAAGTCATGATGAGTGACACCTCTTTCAGGATGATGGGATCAGGTTATTTTCTAAACCCTCCTACAAAATGTAAACGTTGTAGGCAAGGCCTTGAGGAATATAAGACATGTAAGAGTTGTTTCTCAGCAAGTAGATATAACCATTGATAAGCATGTCCAGATCTTAGGACCAGCTCCAGTCCCAGGATCATGACCACTTAGGCCATGAAAAACCAATCCTTGCGTACTCTTCCTTGTAGCAATGAGTGCACATGTACATTTATATTACTAAGAGAAGTCCCTGAAGTGTTTAGTCCCACAGCAAAACAAAATATCCCCCAAGGAGACTTGTGGCCTTCAATGTGTAGTCTACCTGTAGTGTGACCTTGGCACACACTCTATTGCAGGGGCCAAATAAGAATGCTAAGGTCAGTTCTATGGCCAACAGATTCATGAAAAAGAAACAGGCTCAAGTGATGAAATAATACAGCTTTTTCTTTTTTGATTCACAGACATTAAAGACATGGCTGTTGGGCTCTAACCAGTGAATAGCTCGATCTTCTTGAGGATTCCTTCCTGTTCCTAGTCCAGACAAATTTGTTTGGGACTTTCACAAGTCATAATGGAACAAGTTATTAATTTATTCAAATAGGTCCACTGGGTACAATAAGTGTCCTACCAGATTGAACTATTTATTGTACTAAATTAATTCCTTAGTTGGTCTATTAGCCTCATAAGGATTAGTATTTGTAAGGGTTAAGTATAATTCTTAATCTATTATATTTTCATTATGTCATGACTATTGATTTTTCCCCCTTTGGGCAAAGACTTCTTTTAAATTTAAAACAGAAGCAGTACAGAGATAATACATTTATATTCTCTTTTTAATGTCAAGATTTGTATTTCCTCTTGTAAACGACTTTAAAAATCTCAAAGTCCTAGCCCTTCATATCCAGGAGTTCTTAGAATTAAATGCCCCGAGCATCCACTGTACATAATAAACTAACTTTTCTTCTGTGCATCTAAAATGATACTCGCTATACACAGTCCTTGAGAGAATTGAGAACACTGTCATTCAAATCGCTGCGTGTTGTATAAATTTTAAAACCTCTTTGCATAAAGTTTTCTTTTCTGCAGCATGTTTTAGGAAGTTTCTAAAGTCCTTTCATAGGAAAAATTCTTCACTACAATAAAAGATAATCAAATAACAACAAGAATATTGGTTTTCTTAGTCATCATCACTTTGCAAAAATGATCCGTCACGGTTTCTAACAAATTTACTTTCTAATTCGCTCCAGGGGGTGAAATGTTGAAGTCCCCCATTTCACTTAGCAATATACTTAGGAATGTACTATGGGATGTACAATTTTTGATTCAATCCATGGTTAGAGATCTCGTGGGCAAATAAAAAATCTTCCAAATTATAGGCTACCTGGGACAGAGGAGTATTAGTAGATAACATTTTCTCCAAAATCTTATGTGAATTCGTACCCGAGTCAAGGGTCAGTCTTAAGTCTCGCGGTTTCCCTGGCGTTTTGATAAGCCAGGGGAGCCCAAGTTAATTTTGCAGCAAAGGCTATGCACCAACAGGTACTTAGCGATGCCCCCGATTCCTGCAGCAGTGACTCCACTGCTGGCCACATCCCGCCTTTGGACAGCGGGGCGGGGATCGGAGTGGTGACAATGCGGCAGGAGCCGGCCTAGGGGGACCACCCGAAGGCTGGGCGCCTGGAAGGCCGGCTGCGAGGGGCGGGGAGAAGCGTGGTCGGGGGCGGGGCTCGCGGGCGCGGGAAGCGCGCGGGGCCGCCGTGCGGCGTCCGGAGCCCCGCCCCGCCCCGCCGCGTCCCTCCCGGGAGTCCCGCAGCGTCCTGCCCGCGTGCTCTCCGCCGCCTCCCGGCGTCCACGCAGTCGCCAGAGCTCCGCGCGCAACTATGGCTCAGCACTTCTCCCTGGCCGCCTGCGACGTGGTCGGCTTCGACCTGGACCACACTCTGTGTCGCTACAACCTGCCCGAGAGCGCCCGGGTGAGTGGCGCTGGCTGCCGGGCGCCCGGCGTGCAGCCTCCATGGCGGCGTGGGCTCGAGTTTCCTCCCGGCTTAGGCGGCAGCGGGCGTCGCCCGGGCCCTGCAGCCGCCGCGCCTTTGCGCACAACTCGGCCTCCCGCCGGCAGGCTGGACGGAAGGAAGCGTGCATACCCCACCCCCCGCCTCCCCACCCCGTCTCCGCCTTTGCTCTGGGTACCGGCTTCTTTAGCCCAGCCCTTAGCCAAGTTTGAGAGATGCGTAGGGAAGAAAAGGGGCGAAGGAAAGACACGTTGTGCAAGACTGGGTTGGGGAAGCGGTTCCTGGGGCAGAGGAAGGGCGGGGCCAGGGAAACTGGGGGTGTCCTTTGCAGATCCCCGGTTTTGGAACGTCTCAGCAAATCCTTCTGGCTACCAGCAGAGCGCTGATACAGCCACCTGGTTAGCGACTTTTGTCTTCGTCTTTGGCTGCATTTTTTTTCTTTTGCACTTCCATGCGACCACCTGTCAGTTTTTAGATGCAGCCGTCTGGGGAAAATTGTGTGGTGTATTGGAAAGAAGACTAACCGGAAAGTCATTAAGATCTTGGCCCTAATTTTGCCTTTTACCAAGAGAAGGAACTAAATATTGCCCTACTGCATGCTCCACGCAAGTTTTAATCCTGACAACAGCCCGGACCCTTCCTGCACTTAGAGAAGGAGCAGGAAGTGGAGTGCATGATTCCATATCTGTACCCTTAAGTGAATTGTTCTCCCTCCTCCATTCCTTTAGTTTCACATGGATACTGATCTTGGGAAATTAACAATTTTTTTTTTTTTTTTGGTAAGTCAAAGATCTAAGTATCCAAAACAGAAAAAACTGGCTATGGTCGTCAAAGCCAGGCTTTTGCAGCCAGACTGCCTAGCTTAAGGCACTAGCTCCTCCCTCACTAGCTCTGTGACCTTGGGCCTATTACTTAACCTGTGTCGAGTTTTCAGTCTCCTCATCTCTAACACTGGGCTAGTAATTGGATTTACCTGTAAAGGTTGTGGCAAGGATTAAAAAGGTAACGGATATATAATGCTGAGAGCTGTGTCCGACCCAAGTGGTGGCTTTTGTAGTTACCACTGGAATCATTGTCCAACCTGACCACTTATGATAGAGCGATAAGTAGCTGGTGCAGACATCAGCCAGGGCAGCTCCTCATGAAGATGAGGTTCAGTGCCCCAGTCAGCAGTTCAGGTACCCGACAAAGGTCAAAACAGTGTATGAATTACTCCTGTTTTCTGTGTACAGATGGTTTAAAAAAAAAAAAAAAGTGTACTGTTCCTAATGTTGTGTGTTCCTGCTTTCCCACGGTACAGATGTTTCCTTCCTCATGTTGAGAGTTAAGGAAACTTTTCCTCTTGATCTCTGGCCTCTACTTCCTCTAGGTCTTTGATTCATATTTTCCTCCTTTTGCCTTTCATATCTTCCCCCTGATTAACATTTTCTTGCATTTCCTCTCTAGCCATCTTCTTTCGAAGGAAATATTCTTAAAAGTCAATTTTGTGCATGTGTGAGCATAAAATTTCAGAATCCAAGAATTTCCCAAAAGCAAGAGTTCTTTACCACAAGCTTCAAATATAAGTGATATTTAAAGATTGAAAATGGTGATCTGGCGCATTTTCTTTCCTGTTTGGTTCAGAAATCTTTCTTTGTGCTGAGCACCATAATAGAGTTAGGAGTACAGAGATAATACACAGGTCTTCAGGTGGCCTTGTCATGGGTAAGGATGTTGGAAGCTGAGCTTTGGTCCCCTGTGCTGACGGCAGCATTGCCTGGCCCTTGCTAATGCTTGGCTGTTATCTCTGCCTTTCTTCATCACACTGACCCCTCATCTGGCAGGTCTCAGATTAAGTAACCTGGCCCCCTAAACTTTACCTTCTTATCCTGATCCTACCTCCAGTTTTCCATAAAACCTTAATTTCTTATAGCACTTACACACTGCCTTGAATTTTTCCTATTTACTTGTTGGAACCTTCCCCTAGGTCCTAGAGCCATGACCCTTGACCTCAGTATCTGTGACGTTATTGTGTGTTCTGTGTGCCAAGCTGACTCTGCACATGCGGAGTTCAGGAAATAATCATGAAACGATTGAATAAATAGTATGTGTTTCAGTAACTGAATATGGCACTCACAGTCACTATTCTAATAAGCTTCTCCTGCTACAGACTGGTTTGATGCTTACAACAGCCGTATGAGGTAGATGTTATTAACCTCCTTCAGAGATGAGGACACAGTCCCAGAAAGGATAAGTAGCTTGTCCAGGGTCACCCAGCATGGTGGGCTGGCCGGCAGGTTCCTGCTCTCTCCCACGGGCTTTCTGTGTGCTGCAAAGCCCAAAAGGGAGGCCTTGGAGTGAGTGATGCTTGAGCTGGGTCTCAGCACAGGAGTGACAATTGGCAGGTGAGGAGGCAAAGAGGAGCATTTCAGGCAGAGGAAACATGGCCAAGGCAAGGACCGAGAGATGAAAACAGCACCTGGATCTGCTGGGTATCAAGCAGAAGGTGGAGAATGGCAGGAGAAAACATTGGAGATGGCAGTGGTGGCTGATGGTGGCTCACTGAGTGACCACCCATAGCCCACCAGGCTCGTCTGTCCTTGAAATTCTCCAGGCAAGAATACTGGAGTGGGTTGCCACGCCCTCCTTCCAAGGGATCTTCCCAACCCAGGGATTGAACCAGAGTCTCTGTGTCCTGCAGTGGCAGATGGGTTCTTTACCACTCTCGCCACCTAGAAAGCCATTTAATAAGTGGAGTGGTACACAAATGTGGAACTGGATGTGTCACCTCCCCAGGGGCTCAGGAAAAGCATCCTAGAAATGATGACACCTGTGTTGTCCTGGAGTTGCAGACTCAGGAGTGTTCGGGGCCAAGCAGTTAACCTGAATGTGCGACTGGGAATGTGGGGGTCTCTGGCAGCCAGGAGGATGCACATGCAGCATTTGCCGTGGGGCGTAGAGGCTTAGTCTTGCCAGATCTAATTCTCTCAAGACAAGTTAGAAATCGAAGCTTGTGTGAGAAGTCTGTCAATTTTTTTTCAGTGCCAGCTCATTTTCAGAACAGCAGAATTATGGGGTTGCCAGATATAGTGAAGAAAAATACAAGACATCCGGTTCAATTTGAGTTTCAAAGAACAAAAACATTTTTAGTGTATGTGTGTTCCAACTATCTCATGGGATATGCTTATATTAAAAAATTATTTGCTGGTTAGCCGAAAATCCAGTTGACCTAGGAGTTTCACATTTTATCTGGCATCCTTCAGTGGGAACCAGATATAATTTGTGGTCCGCCTACGACCCGCAGGGCACCAGTTTGCAACTGCTGGCGATTCTGCATGATCATTAGTCAGGTGAGACTGTTGGGAAAGTAAGTGGCAGCTAAGGCCGGGAGAGGAAGGGGTGGGTGGTGGAGGCCCTGTGCCATGAGGGCTTCTGGGGTGAGTCAACGTAATTTAAGGAAAAGCTTCAAGGGCCGAGGGCTTCGGACTAGAAGACGGCTTTCAAAGACACAGCCTTCCTGGTGTTTCTCAGCACTGCTCTTCTCTGCTTCTCCTTACACATTGACCCCTTTCTCTCCCATTGTAGAACCTTCTCCTCCAAACACAGCTGTGGGCACCCCCATAGGCAGCCCTACTGGAAAGGGCTCTTTGCCCTGGGAAGGAATCTGACCTTATTGGAATCACGTATCCGTATCTTGATCAATATTGCCAGAGGGTGAGAAATTCCACTTGTCCAAGGCTGAAAAAACTTAGCTTGACCAGAAGCAAGTCTAATGGTGTGCAGTAACCATTGGTAGCTTGAAACGGGCCATGGTAGGAGGGTATCTGTACCATGGCAATGAACGAAGCTTATGAGTCAGGGCTTTTCTGTTTGTTTTTTTTTTTAACCAGCACATGACTGAGGATAATAGCAGTACCTAAATTGAATTTACTTGTATGCCCTGTGCTGCTCTAAGCATCTGAAGATTTACATTACACATGGGATTTACATCTGTTAATCCCGGGGCACTGGTTTCTTGCAGGCAGGATCTTGACGTGTATCTTTTTTTATTGTCCATAGTACTTTGTACCTTTGAGTGACTCAGTACATTTTATGACTGATAATTCATATGAGTGAAAATTCATATAACATAGAAGTCAGTGATTTTCAATTGTCTCAGAGTTTCAGGAATTTGGTAGGGGCCCCACCCTGTCCTGGAGGCTTGGAATTTCTGGGTGGCTTTAAGAACTATCACCTGTGGTTCTAACTCACCTCCAGGGTTGGGGACTGTTCATACATAGTGTTGACTTACTCTGAACAGCTGACCTGGATCAGGTCACATTGTGTGGGGTACGTGTATAGCCATTTTCATTAGCTTTATGACAGGAAACAGCTCTATTTGACAAGGAGCCTTTGCTTTCTCTGTACTCATCTCCTGACACTCACAGTCCCAAGCCCCAACTTGAGCTGTGTGTCCCCTGGACTTGTGTGGCCCTCTCCCCCCGGATTCACCCAGATAACTGCTCTGTCCTGCAGGCGTCAGTGTGAACGTCACTCCCTCAGGGAGGCCTTCTACTCCTCCTGCTGTATCTATTCCCACTTCTCCTTTGTGCTATTCCAGTGCTAAACCTGTCATGGGCTAACATCTGGAGAAGGGTCAGGATACTCTGTGTATCCTCTTGGACACTGTTCAGTCTCAAAAAACCTGGAATTTTGTTGTTGAGAATGAAATCTGTCGACAGTCAGCAGAGCATTTACTTTTATGCTTGCTTCCAGAGGTTTGTTTATTTTTTCTTTCCCCTCAGCTTTTCTTACGGGGGATAAAAAGAGAGAGTCCCTGTGTCTGATCAAGGCGCCGTGATTCCTCCTGTAGATTACCTGCCTGGTCCCCATATATATTTCTCTTTGAGATTCCCCTGTAGAAGAAAGAAAGAAGGGGAAAGTTGCTCAGTCGTGCCCAACTCTTTGTGACCCCATGGACTATACAGTCCATGGAATTCTTCATGCCAGGATACTGGAGTGGGTAGCCTTTCCCTTCTCCAGAGGATCTTCCCAACCCAGGGATTGAACCCAGGTCTCCCGCATTGCGGGCAGATTCTTTACCAGCTGAGCCACCAGGGAAGGTCAGGTATACTGGAGTGGGTAGCCTACCCCTTCTCCAATGGAACTTGTTGACCCAGGAATTGAACCGGGGTCTCCTGCATTGCAGGCAGATTCTTTACCAGCTGAGCTACAAGGGAGATTCCCCTGTGTCAAGTGGCAAAACTAAAAGTAGTAGTGAATTTGATGTCCTTCATTTAGAGAAAATAATTCATGGATTGGGATAGTGCGGTGGCCCCACAAGCAGTGGAATACTCTTCCCCAGATTTTGGACTTGAACGTGTTTTGTAGACTGTAGACAGAGGCAACGCAGAAACAGGGTCTGATTGGCTAGGAGGTTGGGAATTTCCTGATGGGGACTCTGGGTCCTATTTTCTAGGGAGAGGTAAGTGATCACGGCAGATTGTGATTGGTGTATGTTAGGTTTTCTTGACAGGGGTTTTCTGTAAGTGCACACTGACTTAGGTTTAGATTGTGCCAATGTCTGGGCCAGTGGGGTAGCCTCCACTGTGTGGGGCTCAAGTATATGAAGTACCATTATCAGCTGCCATGGGGAGGATGGACAGAGGATGGATGTAGAGTGGTCAATATATTTATCATCTGGTGAAGTGTTAAATCAATTTACAAAGCTTTGTCCAGTCTTAATGATCTCCAACCCGTTAGGCTCCAGGAGTAAGGTTAATAATTGCCCTTGGTTGTATAATTGTACATTGATAGTGTAAAAAAACCAGCAGCTACCTGGGGCTCACAGGGGTGCATAAATTGCTGAGAAGGATTGTTAACCTGCCGAGCTTCACAATTAACAGATAATACAGATTCCTTCCCACCTGTCTCATGACTGATTCCTTTAGGCCTTCGGGCCTGTGAAGTTAAGAAGGAATAGTGAAATTTACATCTAATCTCTTTCCTTTCTGTTAACAGCTCATTTACAATAGCTTTGCTCAGTTCCTGGTCAAGGAGAAAGGGTATGACAAGGGATTGCTCATGGTGACCCCCGAGGATTGGGATTTCTGGTAAGCAGCTTTTTTAAAAGGTCTGTACATTCCCTCTGGTTTTTAATCCTTGTGGATAAAATTTTAATGCTTCCTCTTACATGGAGACAGAACATGAAATGTGAAGTTGAGCAAAGGACAGAATGCCTTCTGTATTAAAAGTTTTATATTTGATGAATTAAAGTCCTTTCTATTTTTGGACTTGCTTAGTTAAGTATGAAAATTAAGCTAAGAGCGAATGTGACTAATTTGGGTATTTTTGCATGGGTTAAGTCTGTCATTATTAATAGTTTCAGAGATTAAGAACTGTCTCTAAAATTTACATCTTTTATTAAAAAATTCTTTTATTGCCCTTCCTATACAGAACTATATGAAAAGAGGTAGAAATCAACATGTTTTGAATGCGTGTGTGTGTGTGCGCACTCATTTTTGTCCAGCTCTTTTCAACCCTGTGGACGATAGCCTGTCAAACTTTTCTGTCCTGGAATTTTCCAGGCAGGAAAACTGGAGCAGGTTGCCATTTCCTGCTCCAAGAGATCTTCCCGACCCAGAGATCCAACCTGTATCTCTGGTGTCTCCTGCGTTGGCAGGCAGATTCTTTACCATTGTGCCACCTGGGAATTCCCATGTTTTTAATAAGTGTCTGAATTAGGACATCTGTTTTTGTGTAATTTGGGTAGATATTCCTATAACAGAGACTCTTGACAGCTTACTCCCTTTCTGACTTAGGAGTCTCAACTTCCCAAGGTTTCCTTTGACGTTCTTCCTCACTTAACCAATAAAAACAAACAAAAGTCCTATTAACCACTTTAAATTGTTCAGTTAAAAATTGATAGTTGTCCTGAAACACAAGAAAAATACATCCAGAAATAATTCTAGAGCAACAGTGTTCCTCTATTATGCATTCTTCCAGTGTTTGGTTAGTCCTTTTTGATTTATCCCTTTCTCTGAAAAGGAAGAAACAGAAACATTTTGCTATATGAAATTCCTATGGAAACGTTATTGTGGACCAAAGTAAATAATGCTTGTAAAGTACCCTGTCCTTTTCTTTTCATTCTGTTGGTATTTGGTGGCCATTATATCTTCTTGTTTTTATTACTCATAATAATGACTCTGAACCCACTTTTCTTCCCAAATCCCATAAGTCTTTTACAGTGAGGAATCTAAAACTTAGTGTTTGACTTTCTTTTAGTGGTTTTCCATAATATGCCTAGCCCAGAGGGCTAGTTCTTACAGCCTGATTAAATTGAGGCAGAGTCTAAAGAGTACAGAAAAGATTGTGGCTAAGATCTTAAGTTGTAAAATACGAATGTGTGTTTGTGTGTGTTTTATTTAATGAAAAACATTTGTACATTTTAGCAGAGGCATACAATGGTGCTTATTTTTTGTTCTGAGTTTTTTTTTTTTCTGAGCTCAAAAGAGTTTAGACACTAAATATGCTGTCTTTGGTTTGCCCACATAGCAGTTTTCCTCATGGACATGCTCTGAGGATATTTAATTTTAGAATTCAAGAGCTTACTTGTTTGATTAACATGTTATTCACCTGGGTGGGAGAGTCTTTTTTTAGTATTACGACTTTTTGAAAATATAAGTTATTATTTCTTGAGTTAAGTATTAATAAGGCTGTGAGCTGATTGGTAACCAGACTTTTCTGTTTCAGTTGCAAGGGCTTGGCACTGGATCTGGAAGATGGGAACTTCATTAAACTTGCAGATAACGGTACCGTGCTCAGGTAATAGAATTTAGTTGTGGTGTCAAAAACTTTACTCTTTCCAGGACATTTTATTACCATGTAGGATTAGACTGTTAAGGTATGGATTAAACAAGATTATTACTGTTGTCAATCAGATGAGAGATTGTGTGCCTGCAGGTCTTGTAGGAATCGTTTGAGCCATTTAAATATAAATCTGGGAGCATTAGATTGAAAGGTCTAATTCTTTAAATTTAGCTTATCAGAAATATTTGCACAGGAAATACAGTAGAATGTTAACTTGCTTTTTGACCACCTCTACTGCAAAAGAGCCTGGGAATTTTGTCATGTTAACCTGGAGTAAAATTGAAGCTCTCTTTATTAAGGAAGAAGGAAAGAATGGACATGGGGTAGAATTGATGGTCTAGGCACACCTCTCTTTCTTCTTCCACTTGTCCAAATTTGCCCCCATCATGCAGAACTCATATTGTGTCTCAGCTTCTGAAAGTGCTTCTAGATTCCTCCAGCCTTCATCAGTGTCCCCCCTCCTCCCACCCCGAGCTTAGTTCTGACTCCCTTTCCTTCCCTCTTCTTAGTTAGTTAGTGTTAGTTGCTCAGTAGTGTCCGACTCTTTGCAACCCCATGAACTATAGCCCGCCAGGCTCCTCTGTCCATGGAATTCTCCAGGCAAGAATACTGGAGTGGGTTGCCGTTCCCTTCTCCAGGGGATCTTCCTGACCCAGGAACTGAACCTGGGTCTCCTGCATCACAGGCAGATTCTCTGCCATCTGAGCCACCAGGGAAGGTGAGTCCAACACTTTGGGTGTTAATAAGAGTAGGGCACATTCCGCAACTTTGCTTCTTTCTATGTTATGTCTGTCTGTCTATCCCCATTCCTAACACCCTTTCCCCAAGGTCTGACCATCTCCATTCAAGTTTGGCCAACCTGTATCTCCTCCTGAGTTTATAAACTTATATCCTTGATGCCTACTTTTAAACAACATAGTAGATACCTTTTCTGATCATATTTCCTGCTCAGGATTCCTCCACCTTTACATACAGTTTTTATTATGTAAATGTTAACCTCTCTGTAAAAAGTATCCTGACTGTGATTTTCCTCCATTTGCCTTTCTTATTTCATTTCCATATTTTTCATTTTGCTTTGCTGCCACAGTCTAACTCTAACAGAAAAAGAAGAATGATACTCCCTAGCATTATAATTTCTCATAGTAAACTATGTGAAATATTAACTGTTTTTCTGTAGGGTAAGATTCTCTTAACCAGGCCCAACCGATGCAAAAGCAGTATTTTGAGCACAAAAAGTAGCTACTTCCTTGTCTTCCTGTTCCAAGTTTTGCCACATTCATCTTACTGTTTCCCATTGTGTTTTTAGCTACGTTACGTCCGTGAGTGACATATTACTACCCCGTCTTCATCTTCATAGTCCCGTCTTGCGCAGCCCTGGGTACCAGGCACATCTCTCCTCCTGCAGGCCTCAGCTCATGCTCTGACTGTTGCACCCTCTCCTCCCTGCAGGCCAGCTTCCCACCGAGTCCCTGCGGTTGTTTCCTCATTGTTCCGTTAGGCAAGTCTTAACCTGCATAGTTAATTGACAACTTCTTAGGCAAGACTTGTCCTATTTCTCCCAGAGAAGTTGTAGTCTATAGATTCATCTGGGGCACCTATCACAGCATTGACCTCAGAGTGCACTTCTCCTGATCACTTGCTGGTTGATGGGTGAAATGGAGGAAGAAAAAGAGCTGTCAAGAGACATCTCTTTCAAAAAAGAGGGGATATATGTTTATGTACCACTGATTCACTTTGCAGTACAGTAGGCACTCACACAGCATTGTAAAACAACTATACTCCAATAAAAATTTTAAAAATAAAATTTAAGAAATAACATAATAAAAAAAAGAGAAATACCTTATAGGATCTTAAGTAAGGAAGTTATCCAGTTGAAAACCTTTTTCTTAAAAAAAAAAAAAAACCCCATTAGTAGCATTAGGGTGAATTAATAGCAATGCTGGAGGAGGGAGTGTTCAAGGGAACCACTGATGAACCATATGCCTCATCTCTTCAAACCAGGGCCAGCCACGGCACAAAGATGCTGTCTCCGGAGGCACTGGCGGAGGAGTTCGGCAGGAAGGAGTGGAAGCACTTCATGCCCGACACGGGAATGGCCTTCCGGTCAGGTACGGTTCCCGTGTGGGGCAGCGCCGCCGTTCCCTCCCCTGCTGTTTTAGACTCTGAACCTGTGACATCAAGACACAGAGCAGGATGCAAACGGGAGCAGCTGTGGTTTCATAGAGATGGGATGCGTTACTTCTCGTGTGTGTCTGGTTTCTCTTTGGCAGTTGGTTCTGTTTTATTTAACGTTTTTATTGATTCACCTTTTACTTGTTCTGGAGGAAAGAAGACTTAGCACTTAGGAATAATAAAATTACTTATTCTGTATTTTTATTAATTCATTACCTGCACGATCCTTTTCTTTCTCTGTTCCCCGCTTCTCCCCACATTCATATTCCTCACCTCTACTGTTTTCTAGAATTCTTTTCTTTACTGCCGTCTCTAGTATCTTCTACCATCGTCTTTTTTTTCCCCTTTATTGCGAGTGATTTTACACAACTTTTTCCCACTCTCCTTAAAGAGTTTTACCATGAGCAAACATGAAAAGATTTTTCAAAAAGTATTTATAGACAACAGATGTGCATACATTAATAAAGAAGGATTAAAACACTTACAAATAGATAGACCTCATTAAAAGTCTTGTTTTTCATTTGTTCTAGGTTTTTTTGGCCATTTTCTCCCATACTACAGTTTTGAAATACACCTGTTTTCCTTTCGAAAATAGAGTAACTGGAAAATAGTTGGAGTTATTCCTTATTGCTATCGTGGTTTTATTTGTCATATTTGCTGTCTTTGGCTGGTCTGTTTTCTCATAGTGAGAAAACGTCGGGAAGTATGTGTTATTTTTTTGTTTGTTTGTTTTGTTTGTTTAAGTTTTTTTTTTTTTATTAGTTGGAGGCTAATTACTTTACAATATTGTAATGGTTTTTGTCATACATTGACATGAATCAGCCATGGATATACATGTATTCCCCATCCCGATCCCCCCTCCCACCTCCCTCTCCACCCAATCCCTCTGGGTCTTCCCAGTGAGTATGTGTTATTTTAGTAAAATAAGTTGACAGGAAAAAGAGATTTCACCGTGAGGTTAGGTATAGAATGCTTTCACACATCTCAACTCACGATAGCTAGAAAGTTAAATGGATAGATTTATTTTTTATTCAAGTGGTAAGGAAGACTCCTGTTGTCTGTCCAGATGTATGTGTACAAGCGTGCATGCTTATTCACGTCCATCTCTTTTAGACTCCGTGAGCTGTAGCCTGCCAGTCTCCTCTGTCCATGGAATTCACTGGAGCAGGTTGCCATTTCCTACTCCAGGGTATCTTCCCAACCTAGGGATCAAACCTGCCTCTCTTGTGCCTGTTACATTGGCAGGTGGTTTCTTTACCACAGTGCCACCTGTCCCGATGTAGGCAGTTGTAAAGAGAGGTGAACAACATGGGTTTGAACTGGGCAGGTCCACTTGACACCAGCTGGCTGGTTCAGGCAGGTCACTCTGGTATCACAGACCAGGAGATTAGACGCATTGCGGGTAGTGAGCCTCGGGAATCTCTGTCCGCTGTCCTGGTCCCTGCAGTCCTGGCATGTATGTGGGCCGTCTTCTCTCTTTTCTCCAAATTCTTGCTTTTCCTCATACTGACAAAGACATCCTAACCTTTCTTAAGAATGAAAACTCATCTGAGATGGTCCCTCCACAATTTCAGCTGTGAAAAAGTAAAAAAACAAGAAGACTATGCCAACCAAAATATTCTTAACTGAGGAAAAGGACATACAAACCTATGCATTTGTGAATTAACAGAACTTTGACTTTATTTCTTTTATATTCTTGGTAATTTGATATCTTTGAGGGGCGTTAAATAAGATTTAAAGGGATAAACATCTATCTGGACCTTACAGAGGGTTTTCTCTTAATTTACCATGACACTTCATTCCAGCATACAGCTAACTCTTGAACAACTTAGGAATTAGGGACACTTACCTCAAGAAGTTGATAATCTGAGTATAACTTTATTATCAGCCCTCCCTACTTGGAGTTCCTCCCTGTCTGAGTTTCTGCACCTGTGGGTTCAACCTACTGCAGGTCACAGATCGTGTACTACTATAGTATTTATTGTATTTATTTACATGTTGAAAAAAATACACGTAAAAGTGGACTTGTGCAGTTCACACCTGTGTTGTTCAAAGGTTGACTGTAATCCATTCAATTTTTGGATCATTCAACAAGCATTTATTGAGTGCCTATAATATACTGGAAAGCGAGCGTAGTGGACACAGAAGACTGCTATGTTCCATAACCTCATACATAGCTTACAAATGGAGGAAGGGGGCGGGCAGTTATAGTAATCTGCACAAAAGTTATGGTGACCATTTGAAAAGTACTCCCTTACATTAAACTGAAATCCAGCTCCACCTGGTGATTCTGTTTGATTCCTCTTTGTACCAGGAGTTCTCAGGAGAGAGGACTCTGAGGTTTGTGCTCAAAGCAGAGTGGTCGCTCCTGCTTGCATTCTGCAGGAGCAAGATAGCAGTGAGGGTGTGACATGAAAGGAGAGAACAGAGAAGGGCCCTGGATCCCCCCAGGACTTCTGAGGAGAAGCGCAGAGAGCACTTCCCAGAATTGTCAACCCAAGGGACAGGAAGTTGGGGCCTGCATTCCCTGATTCCTGACCTGTCCATTGAGGCTTGCCACATGGGCTCTAGAGGCTTCCAGAGAGAGGGTGTGGCTTGAGGAGAGACAGTGGTGTTCAACACAGCTGAGGCTGGGGTCAGCCGTAGACCAAGGGGATGTGACGTGGGTCCTCAAAAGTGTCTTCTGCCCAGGGACAGCAGATTCAAAAGTGCTGTCAGTGCCACGGAAGGGCTCAACTTAATTCTAGCCTCAGGCCGAGGAGAATAAATCAGACCCTCTGCTCTCCAAGATCTAGAGTCTGCCTCTGCTGTGCTTGTAAGTTTTTCTAAGATAAGCCCACACTGTGTCCTCGCGTGATGTGAGGACACGTTTTTTTTTTTTTTTTAATTTCTTTTCTCACCCTGGCTGTTCTTACATTGTACTGAAATTTGTCTGAAGTTGCATAAAGATTGAATGTGAGACTCCAGGGGATCAACCAACACAGATAGTGAATGCACTTCGTGGTACTCCAGTGTTAGGTTGATGGTTTTGAAATTCAGTGACCCTGATAATACAAATTGTGACTTTTTCATAATCTATTTCATGTTTATGATATAGTCTTTAATTTTTATATTAAAAACGTTCTTAATAAAATGCTTAACTTATGCATATCATATTTTATTATAACTTTTTTATATTAATAGAGCCATTATACCTGAGGCCTTCTTTAAAAGACAGTGGATGACAGGCTGTAGTAGGGTGGTTCTGAATTGCAATAGAAGCCCCTTTAAGTAACTAAACCAAAATATAGCCTCTTTAGCCAAGTTTCCGTATCACATAAATGAGGCATTAATTTGATCCCAGTTTAAAATTGTGTTCTTTTTAGGAAAATACTACTTTTATGATAACTACTTTGACCTGCCTGGAGCTCTTCTATGTGCCAGAGTAGTAGACTCTTTAACAAAGGTGAGTGGGGACTCATTTCCTAGAAACTATGATATGTATTTGGCCATAAATCGGAGGACTTTGAGCTTCCCTGGTAGCTCAGATGGTAAAGAAGCCATCTGCAATTCAAGAGAACTGAGTTGAGAAGATCCCCCGGAGGAGGGCATGGCAGCCCACCCCAGTATTCTTGCGTGGAGAATCCCCATGGACAGAGAAGCCTGGCGGGCTACAGTCCATGGTATTGCAAAGAGTCGGACATGACTGAGCGACTAAGCCCACACACACACAGAGGACTTAATTATATATGTCTTCTGAGTTGAGATTTTACTCAATTTCCTTTGTGGTTTCAGAGGTGACCAAAGAGGAAAGACAGAGAGAAATTGGTCAAAGTATTTTTGGAAAATTAAATAACGGCCATACCAAAGGATAATAAACCTGTTCTCCAGCAGGGGATGCAACAATCTAGAAAAAGAAAATACCAAACTTGGCATGTGGAGAAATATTTCTTGGTTTCATTAGCAGAGTTTTTAAAATAAATAAATAAAAGAAATGTAAGGAAATTCCATGTGTCTTTTTAAGCATTGTTAAATAGTATAAAACCAGAAAAATGGGATGAAATGTTAAAAATCATCATTTTGAGCATAGTTTAATGTATATAGACTTTTTTTCTTTGTCCTAGGTATCAGGATTAAAAAGATCTCTGGTTATATCCATTCATACTTAGAGCTTAAGAACTATGAACATAAATTGGTTTTATGCCAGAATCACTTTCTTTTGTGCATATATTGTCTTTAAAAATGACAGTGATGGTTCTGATAGGCTTCACTTCAGTCCAGTTCAATCGCTCAGTCGTGTCTGATTTTGTGACCCCATGGACTACAGTACTTCAGGCCTCCCTGTCCATCACCAACTCCCAGAGTTCACTCAAATTCATGTCCATTGAGTTAGTGATGCCATCCAACCATCTCATCCTCTGTCGTCCCCTTCTCCTCCCACCTTCAGTCTTTAACAGCATCAAGGTCTTTTCAAATGAGTCATTTCTTCACATCAGGTAGCCAAAGTATTGGAATTTCAGCTTCAAAATCAGTCCTACCAATGAACACCCAGGACTGATCTCCTTTAGAATGGACTGGTTGGATCTCCTTGCAGTTCAAGGGACTCTAAAGAGTCTTCTCCAACACCACAGTTGGAAAGCATCAATTCTTCGGTGCTCAGCTTTCTCTGTAGTCCAATTCTCACATCCATACATGACTACTGGAAAAACCACAGCTTTGACAGTATGGACCTTTGTTGGCAAAGTAATGTCTCTGCTTTTTAATATGCTGTCTAGGTTGGTCCTAACTTTTCTTCCAAGGAGTAAGCGTCTTTTAATTTCATGGCTGCAGTCACCATCTGCAGTGATTTTGGAACCCAAAACAATAAAAGTCTGTCACGGTTTCCATCATTTCCCCATCTATTTGCCTTGAAGTAATGGGACCAAATGCCATGACCTTAGTTTTCTGAATGTTGAGCTTTAAGCCAACTTTTTCACTCTCCTCTTTCACTTTCATCAGGAGGCTCTTTAGTTCTTCTTCGCTTTCTGCTGTGAGGGTGGTATCATTTGCATATATGTGGTTATTGATATTTCTCCTGGCAATCTTGATTGCAGCTTGTGCTTCATCCAGCCCAACATTTCTCATGATGTTGTCTGCATATAAGTTATAATAAGCAGGGTGACAATATACAGCCTTGATATACTCCTTTTCCTTATTTGGAACCAGTCTGCTGTTCCATGTCCAGTTCTAACTGTTGCTTTCTGACCTGCATACAGATTTCTCAGGAGGCAGGTCAGGTGGTCTGATATTCCTATCTCTTGAGGAATTTTCCACAGTTTGTGGTGATCCACACAGTCAAAAGCTTTGGCATAGTCAATAAAGCAGAAATAGATGTTTTTCTGGAACTCTCGCTTTTTCAATGATCTAGCAGATGTTGGCAGTTTGATCTCTGGTTTCTCTGCCTTTTCTAAAACCAGCTTGAACATCTGGAACTTCATGGTTCACATACTGTTGAAGCCTGGCTTGGAGAATTTTGAGTATTACTTTACTAGCATGTGAAATGAGTGCAATTGTACGGTAGTTTGAGCCTTCTTTGGCGTTGCCTTTCTTTGGCATTGAAATGAAAACTGACCTTTTCCAGTCCTGTGGCCACTGCTGTTTTCCCAATTTGCTGGCATATTGAATGCAGCACTTTAACAGTATCATCCTTTTTAGCATTTGAAATAGCTCAACTGGAATCCCATCACCTCCACTAGCTTTGTTCATAGTGAGGCCCACTTGACTTCGCATTCTAGGATGTCTGGCTTTAAATGAGTGATCATACCATCGTAATTATCTGGGTCATGAAGATCTTTTTTATATAGTTTTTCTGTGTATTCTTGCCACCTCTTCTTAATATCTCTGCTTCTGTCAGGTCCATACCATTTCTGTCCTTTATTGAGCCCATCTTTGCATGAAATGTTTCCTCGGTATCTCTAATTTTCTTGAAGAGCTCTCTAGTCTTTCCCATTCTATTGTTTTCCTCTGTTTCTTTTCATTGATCACTGAGGAAGGCTTTCTTATCTCTCCTTGCTATTCTTTGGAACTCTGCGTTCTGATAGGACTAGATGTTGGTTTATTTTTGAATCAGAATTACAGTCATGTGTTTGTGAAAGTTTCTGTTGAGCCAAAGTTCTGGCTTGTAGAAGTTGTTACTATGGGATGTAGTCAGCTTCTCATTTTATAGTGACTGTAAACAAATGCACCGGTCTTTAAATATTTGGGGCTTGATATAATTTAAATACTACCTAGTAGTTGCTCTCTGTTTATATAGAAGGACACTGGTTAATGTCGCCAAGGAAGCACAGGGCTGTAGGGTTGTGTATTTTCCTGTTTACTTGCTTTCTGGGTTTAAAAAGAATCTTAGCAAAAATGATTTGAATTTTGGGTTAGGAACCTCCTTCATCTCACCTGTAGAGATCTGATGCTCTTGTATACTGAAACTCAGGTAAATGTGCACAGTATTGTAAAGTAACCAGCTTTTGCGGTTTTAAGGCTGTGGGCCTTTTAGCTCCAGTGATGCCATGGTACAGGAAGTGACATGTCCTGATATCTCCTAAGCTGTAACATTGTATATTTGTTCATGTGTTAAAAGTAGTGTGTAATGTTTAGACTTCACAGTGCATGGAAATTTTTATTTTATTTGGGTTATATGGGTTACATTAATATTTAGTCATACGTATATACTTCACTATAGCAGTGATTTTCATGGAAGATATTTTTCTACAATCACATTTGGAAAAGTGAGAAGTTTATTAATCTGTTCTATTTCCTAAAACATGAATCCTTAAAGTACAGTAATATTACAGTTGTTTGCCAAGTGTTTTCTACTATGCTTAAAAACAGAATATGTAATAACATGTGTCACATTTGGATTTGGTTTTTCTTTCTTTAGCAGAACAATGGTCAAAAACCATTTGATTTTTGGAAGGACATAGTCGCTGGTATACAACATAATTATAAAATGTCAGCTTTTAAAGGTGAGTAATGTGAAGAGAGACTTTATTTATTTATTTATTTTTATTGGAGGATCATTGCTTCACAATGTTGTAGTAGTCTCTGCCATACATCAACAGAAATCAGTCATAATTATACATATATCCCCCTCCCTCTTTAGCTTCCCTCCCACCCCATCCAGCCCTCTAGGTTGTCACAGAGTGCAAGGCTGGCTCTGTGTTATATGAAGCTTCCCACTAATCATCTGTTTGACACATGATAGTGTGTGTATGTCTATGCTATTTACTTTCTCAACTTGTCCTCCCCTCTCCTTCCCCAGCTGTGTCCATGAGTTCATTCTCTATGTCTGTGTCTCCATTTCTTGAAGAGAGGCTTTAGATGTTTGTTCAATCCTGTGCGTCTAATGAATTACTTAGAAGGTACCTTAATTAGGATTTAATTTGGCCCTAGATGTTGCTATAAAGTTGATCCTGGTTATATATCTGAGAGCTTCTTTTCTTCATGTCTGTTTAATGGCCATCATTGCCAGGATTCTAAGAGATGCTGTTTTTTACATGCTTACCGGTAGGACCCTTTTGTGGATACCCCAGAATTTGCTCTCTTGGCTTGGAAATGAGATTGGTGATAGCTGTCACCATTAGTGTTGTAATTACAGACAGACAGGAAGAGTGAAAATTCTATTCTCAATGCTTAAAAGCAGGTTGAGCTCACACAGAATATGAGCAGAGATCACCAACCCAAGCCCAAGTTTTTACAGTTCTATTCACAGGTTTCCTTGGGTTACACAGAGACATTGCTTCTAAGGCATTAAGACATCCCTTTATAGTGTGGTACCTGTGTGACTTGAACAGACTGTCCTAATTCAGCTGGTGGACTGATGGATGCTCACAGGCAGTGTTTTTCAGCTGAGAAAAATAAAAAAGCTGCCTTTTGATTGGCATAAAAATTCTTGCCTGCCTTTTAATGTCATTTAAGCCATCAAAATGATCCTAAATATTATGACTAAAAACATGTCGAGGCAGTGAATAGTAACTGCAGATATTTGTTCAAACTACATGTTTCTCTCCTGCCTGCTTTTTTCCTTCCTAGAAGAATATCACTGACTTAGATGATTGTCTTACTTTTCTATTCCCAGTCACCAGCCCCTCACCCTGTAGATCACATGTGGTTCTGTCTGATAGCTTTTCACAGTCCACAATGAGTGCTTGGGTGTGTGGAAATGCCTATCTCCAATAGAAGGGTATATACATGACCCTTGGAAAAGCTACCCACCACTTTATCATTTTACTTTTTATTAACTTTGTAAAATGAAAACCCTTAAAAGAGTGGTTGAGAATAGCAAATTGCTGGTTTCAAATAAATTCAGCATTAAAAAAAATAAAATTCAACATAATCATCTATTGATGTTATTTTATTGCATTGTAAATAAGGAGTAGATAAAATATTTCATGAGGCACAGCTTAAGAGTTTTAAACAGAAACACTAAAATACAGTACAGAGCAGAAATAAATAATCTTTTCATTTCTAGTCAGATTTTGAAACCCTTGATACTACAATTTCACTGGAATGGGAGGCCCAAGGTACATATGCTAATACTCTATAAACCCACAAAGTCATATTAACATTATATAAGACTCAAGAAGTCATTAAAACAAATTAATCACACTTGTGTCAAATAAATAAAATAGGTTAGACACCATTTCCAAGTTGTAAAGGGTATATAGAAAGCTTTCAGCAATCCACAGAAACGTTTGAAAAGGTTCATGACTAAAGCACCTTGCATTTCAGATTAACATTAATATTTTGGGTTTCTTATGAGAGCTATAAAAAGTCTGTATGCACCTGTATACTTGAATAGATATTGACAAAAGGGGCCACTTAAACCTTTGAGTAATGCACCATCAGAAAGATCTCAGGGTACATAGTGTTTTTTAAATTTGAATATTCAAGTCCCATAAAGATAGATGACATCTCCTGAATGTTTCCTGAAAATTTTCCTGTTAATTGTCAGAAACAAGACTTATTTTTAAAAGGAAATGCTGAACTTCTGAAATCAAATTTGACATGATTTAGCATCACATTTCAAGGTTTTTTGCGATTGCTTTTTTAACTTAGGATGAAATTGTTAAATATTGAAGGAGTTCACAGAAAACTTTTAGAAGTTTTAGGACTGCTGACTAGAAACTCAAGAGGGTCTTCACATATGTTTGCCGTATCTGAGAGCTCAGACCTGTACTTTGGAAACTAAAATCAGTCACATTTTTTCAGCCTACCTCCATATGCATTTCATGGGGTGGGGTGGAGTTGGGGAATGCCTTTTCAAGCAGATTTGTGTTAGCTCGGTGGGAGTGGGCTCACATGGGAGCCACCAGGAATCCTGAGAAGGAGGAGTGGACGTACTCATTGGAGTAGAGCCCGTTGGAGCCTGCGTTGGGCAGCTGGAGCCATACCTGGTCGTTCTCGGTGAGGTCGATTACGGCGCTCCCCGAAGCCTGATCCAGGTAGCCCTTGATGTACTCATCATAGGTGTACATCACAGGGGTGCCGTTCTTATACAGACCTACCCAAGCATGGGTCCCTTTCACATGGATGTGGTAAGAGAAGTAATATATCCCTGGAATCTTACAGGTAAAGATTCCAGTTCTTGGGTCGTAATGCTGTTGCTTGTTATATAAAATCTTATCGAATGGGATAGGAGTACCTATAGCTGGGTAAGCTTTGGAGAGGATAACAGTGAAAGCAGACACAGGCATTCCTGTTACTCCCTGATTGGCACTAACAAACGGCCTTTGGCCTGCCTTTACAAAGTCCTCGGGCAGGGCTGCTTGGCCTGGAGGGCCTGGGGGCCCTGGGGGCCCTGGGAGACCAGGCTCCCCAGCATTGCCCCTTGGCCCTGGAGGCCCTGGTGGCCCAGTCGGTCCATTGAGGCCCTTGACTGCTATGCCCGCTGGGCCAGGAGGCCCTGGAGTTCCTGCATCGCCTTTGGCTCCAGGGAATCCTGGAATGCCTGGCGGCCCAGTGGGACCTCTAGTACCAGGTATTCCAGGGACTCCTCTGGGCCCAGCCTCGCCATTGTGTCCTGGCGTTCCCCTAGCTCCTGCTGGGCCCACGGGGCCTGGGAGACCAGGGGGTCCTGCGATGCCAGGGTCACCTTTTGGGCCCGGCAACCCTGGGTTACCCTTGGGACCGTTGAGACCTGGTTCTCCTGGGTACCCTGGTTTTCCATCTAAGCCAGAGGAGCCCCTTTCTCCCTTTGCCCCGGGGTTCCCTGCAGGCCCCACGGGCCCCATCTCACCTTTAGCGCCTGGGAGCCCGGGGTTGCCTGGAATGCCTTTTGGTCCTTGGGGTCCCATATTCCCTGAGGGTCCGGGCAGACCTGCTTCCCCGGGATGACCTGCTGGGCCTTGTGCCCCTTTGGCGCCTGGACTCCCTGGAAGGCCCACAGGTCCTCTTTGTCCCTTCAGGCCTGGCAAGCCTGGTTTCCCAAAGCCGGGAGCTCCTGGGAGCCCAGCTGGTCCTGGAGCCCCAGGGTGACCTTTCATCCCTTGGATCCCTGGCTGGCCTGGAGTTCCAGGGGCTCCTGGCTTTCCAGTGCCTTCTGGTCCTTGTTCCCCAGGGGGGCCTTGGGGGCCTGGTGGGCCGGCTGGCCCCCTTTCCCCTGGAACACCCTGGTCACCTTTGAGGCCTGGCTGTCCTGGTAACCCATTGTCGCCTCTTTTCCCCACTCCAGGAGGGCCAGGTGGTCCCGTGGGACCCTGAGGACCTGGGAGACCCCTTTCACCTGGGCGGCAAGGAGCACAGTACCCCGTTTCCCCTTTCTGTCCATTCAGTCCAGGGACCCCTGGTGCACCCTTTTCTCCAGGAAAGCCCCTGGGACCTGGTTCTCCTGTAGGTCCTTGTGGCCCAGGTTTTCCTGGAACAGAAATTCCAGCTGGGCCGGGGATTCCAGGTGGCCCTGGTGGGCCCCGTGGTCCTGGTAAACCAGCTGGTCCAATATCCCCTTTTGGTCCATTGAGTCCTCTCTCCCCTTGTTTTCCTGGGAGTCCTGGCAAACCTGGCTTCCCAGTGGCTGACGTTCCCGGCGGTCCTGGCAACCCTGGCTGTCCTTGGGGCCCAGGACTTCCGGTGCCGGGTTTTCCTGGTGGTCCAGACGGGCCTGGGTGCCCTCGAGGTCCCGCGGGGCCTGGTGGACCGGGGATGCCTTGCTCTCCTCTTAGCGACACACCTGAGAGGTGCACAGAGCACATGGGGTAAGGGTTAGTGATGCTGAGAAACCACTGCTTCTCAAAGTATAAATGAGGACAGGGGGTTGCAGTGTCAGCCAGACCATTTTGACAGACTAGTCTTAAATGGTTTTAGACAATTTTACATTGTTTTCAGACATCTATATTGTTTGAAAACATACTGCTAGAGAAGATGGTTTCACAAGACTACCGTGGCTACCGTCTTACTTTCATTACCTCCTAGTGATCATGAAAATAGCTGGGATTGAAGAATTCATTTAGAATAAGAGTGCATTGGAGGTAAACTTAGCACATTTATTTTAGGAAAATCATCTACCTAGAAAAAGAAAAGGGGAAAAAGGCATTTGATAGGAAAAGAGGGAAAAGGCAAGTACAGAATAAGGAACAGGCTTAAGAACTAAAACAACTTTCCTTCACAAAAGCTATCCTATAAGATAAAGGAGAAATGCAGTCTGATTTAATTTACATCTGCCACAACCCTGCTGAAGACAGTTAGATTTCGGGTTTTCTTTCATTTGGTTGTTTTTGACCTCAGTACAAAGCATGAGCTCTTACGTTCTCTGTGGGTGATTTAAAATTGAAATAAGGAATTAAGAGAATTAATGTGCAAGGTACATAAAGTAGTATTAAAATGGTTTAATAAAATTTTCTTTGACTAATGCAGATACTGTTGACTTCATAGATCTGTGGGTCCATTTGAGCTAAATACTTCTACTAGTAAACTTAAACTAAAAAATTATTTAGTGCCTGTAATGTGAAATCTGTTATTGAACTGTAAG